GTAACTCAACATTCTAAACAATATTTGTACGCAACTTTCAAGATTACTGTATTATTCATCAATTCTAACATAATCCATAATCGATTGTATAAGATATAGGATCATAAATAAATGCAAGGTTTTCTGGAAAAAAGCTTGAAAAAACCTAGAATTTTCGAGTATTTTTGTGTATTTTTGCTTACTATAGTGTTAGTAAATGAATCTGTAATATCAATAAAATTTATCCAATGCCTGATTTATTTTCAATTAAACTATAAGAACCAACCAATCTACGTTGAAAATAAACTGCGTCTCTGCATCTCATCTGAACAATATTGAAAATGCCAAATCAGTCACAAATCACAGTCAAATGTCATTTTTTCAAACATATATGTAATTTACTTAAGTATTGAGTAGAATGTCGATAAAGTGACGAAAGTAATTAACATTTTTTACGTCAAAGAGTTCCGACGTGAGCGAGCGTCAATGGTATTATTTCAAGCCCGACGGTCATGTGCTTATTGAATTAACACGAAAATGCAATATTATAGGAATTATACAATATACTCGCATTTAGCCATTGAATTGAATTAGCTGGTACTTTTAATTGTTTATATTTGTAGTATAGTTTGCATAAAACACTTTTATTTACATATTTATTCATTTTATTTCAATAACAGTAGAAGCGAGGTGTGAGCATCGAAGTTACGTCAATCAAAAAGAGACGTCCTAAATGTCATTGTAACACCTTGTATTGATATAAAAAGGCTTTAACTAAAGAATACTTTTTCGGAACCGACGCCAAGTGTATCAGGTACTATCACAGTCCTTTAAAAAATAACATACATATATTTAATTTATGTATGCACGTACAAGTCCCCAACAAGACGATCCGAAAAATAATATATGGTATATAATCTAATTAAACAAAACTCATCGCGCGGAGATCACAATCTCTACAATATATATGCAATAATTTAAAATCTGCCAGTATTTTATCTAAATACGTTTAAACAAAACGTGTCTATATTGAATCCTAATACTTTACGTATGTTCTACGTCAATGGCTCGAACTAACAATTCTTTTTCCATTACGTTGATTATAGAATCATTTTCATTAAACTACTTACATTGATTACATACGATTACATCATAAGATATATGCTTCAATATCATATGAAAACTTATGCGCAGAATTCTTTAGAATACTTAAGTAAAATGAAGTCAACAACAAATAAATTAGTTAATAAGAGGATTCTCCGTTACTATATTCGTATAATAGGAATGTATAGTAACTGACATGTACCTATAATTAATATTTAACAATCAGATAATTTCCTCGTTAACAACAAATATGAGCTAAACTTTCCATATTATTTTGTATATTAACATTACCCTTATCGGTTGTTATCATTTGCGTCAAACAATCAGATAATAGTATTAAAACAACGATAATTTTCGTTATTACTACAGGTTTAACAAGGATTCCTTCAAAGGAAATATCATTTAGATTATCAATATGTGTCTACTCAGACAGGTTGTGTTCGTCTGTTTTGGATTGGATGTTTGTAACTCTTTACGTAAATATAACTGAACGAGGAAATTCAAAGTAGATTTGATTATACAAACAGACCACGTGGGCGCAGACGGAAACCACTAGGTACGGGTTTTGCAATTACGATTTTGGTAATTCAAAAAAGGTTGGGGAAATATAGTCTTTCCTACGTCACATTAGTGTTTAACGAGTAAAAAGGGGAAGTACGAAATCGATAAAGTTGCTTACGTCACAGTTTACTCATGCAGTTACCCTTAGGGACGGCACTTTGTAAATTAAGCAAAAATATATGAAGCAATCATCATTTATGAATGGAAAGTTTTTCTCCTTTTTTTTATTATAATTAAAGCTTTATTAATCCATACAACAATTGGTTAGTTTGCATTCCTTAATATTAGAATTAGTTGTGTTAGTAAGTGTTTTTTTTTTAAAAAAAGGGTGCGTGTACTTATACTAATAAGTATACTTCGTACGCGCGTAAGAAGTTATACTTATTTGGCATTATTAAAAATAGTTTTTGATTGCATGCAAATAAATAATTACAATTAAATAATCAAAGACTGGAAAAGGAGTCATTATAGTCAATAAAGTTCAGTTTACATTTGAAAAATTAAATAAATAAATATTTATTATTATTCTCTTACATTAAGTGTAACAAAAATTCTTTTATTATTCGAATGTTGTTTTTAAATTATGTCCAATGCCGTAGCATCTTCCGTGGGCAACTTCATTCTGTTAATTTTGTGTCACGGCGCGCGCGCATCGTAAAATTTCACTCTCATCAATTTTTCATAACGCGTCTTAAGAAGTATAACTTCAAAAATATGTTAGATTTATTTTTATTCTCCATTTACGGGACATTAACAATTCATTTTCAGCGCAGTTCCAGTATGTAACCTGTGGCTCCGCTACAATAATCAACCCTGCTATTACAATTAAAAATGTTCATTGTTGAAATAGCCTTTTATAAAGTAGGAAATTGCACAATACACCGTTTATTGAGTAATTAATAACAAATAATAATTAACGTGTGCTAGTTATCTACGTTATTTCGTCAGTAGTTACGTATTTAGTTTTACTAGACCGTAACATTCGGAATTTAAACTTTAAAATTGTTTTAATACTAAAATATCGCGGATTTGAAAGTGCATTGTGTATATACTTCCGGGACGTAATCTAGAGTGAAACGGGAACATTTATTTCAATAAATTAGCATACTTCATTGGCTGCATGGGGAACTAATACTCAGGGTCAAGAAATAATTACATGTATTTATTTTATAATTAGAGAAACAATTGCGACGACCGACCGGTAAATAAAAGGGAAAGCTGGGAATCAATTTCAAACAAAAATAATATCAGAGCCGAATTCACTTTAGCGGTTTCTTGCCAGAGTTTTGCAACAGTTAAACCACTTCGCTTGGAAAGTCCATAGCAAAGTATTTTATATTTCGCAGCCGTTGCATAAGCTTTGGAATCTAAAAGTGGCTAAAAAGCTAAAATTAGAGCATACAAAAAATACCCTGATTTTATTAGCTTGTGGTAATACTCGTGAAATTTGATTTTGTTACAACAACGGTCTGGCCCTCAGATTGATGTATCTGTTTCGTGATCATTAATTGTTTTCTCTAATAAGCATGTAGGTGATGAACCTTCTGTGCCTGACACACGCCGTTGACTTTTTGACGTTGACCCTCACCATAGGAGTGAGAGCGAGTAGTAAATGCGAACATAGACACAAAGCCAATTGGTGCACAATCGTGTTCGAACCTACGGCCTCAGGCCTTAGTCGTACGCTGAAACCAACACTGCTCTTGATTGATACGACATAAATAACTTTTTTTTTATTTATTAGTGTGGCAAGTATGCTCAATATGTGTGCTATAAGTTTGAAGTGACTGTGTGCCAGTGTCTGTCTACATTGCATCTCCAAAATGTGTTTTTGTTGAAAAACCGACGGGATCAAGATGGTTTTAAGCTACAATTTATGAAATTCAGGCATTTCAAGGTCATCACAACTTGTCAGCTCCGGCAGATATCTCCGGGGGTTACTTAAAAATATCAATTTTATCATAATGAGTATAAATACTTAAAGCTAGGCTGACTAGTTTCGAGATCCAGAAACATATTTTGTCATGGTTAACATTTATAAATGTTATATAAAAATATACGAAATATTACTTTTACTATGACGTCAAATAAGTTTTCTGGAAGAAATCTTATCACAAAAATTTACACATAGTTTAACTAAACTCAAACATTACATAACGAAAAACGTAAGTATTCTGTTACGATAATATTTATTATAATTTTGAATAAATACAATCTGTTATATTACAGACATCTAAACAGTTATATTTAATCTAAAATGCTATTTAATTTATTCAAAAGACATTACAAATTAATTCGCGTGATTTTTAACAAATAATTTTTTGGTTTGAATTCATTTGCGTAAATAAACTATTAAAGATTGTCAATAACGTACAAATAGTTCCTGTTTACTATTTTAAGTACGGTAATTTAATCATATAATGTGTAAATAACAATATTTTAATTGCCAAATGTTGACTTTGCTATAATAAAAAAATATATACAATTTAGGTAGGTACACACAGGTATTCTGAACTAACATTATTTTAATGGATTCAATTCAGAGGTTACATATGATTCAGAAGACTCAGAATCGAGACGAGTATGTCAATACCAAAACGTTTTTGAATATAAGTGTTATTCAGTTCTGATTAATAATATTCTTGGCGCACTGTGTATCACCAAATAGTAAATATGAGGGCCTAAAAGAGGGCCCTAAGAAGGGCCTTTGGACGAATTTTGTACCAGAACCGCGCTTCCCTCCACAAGTGCACAATCTATGAGGTGTGTTTACTCACACGCCACATTTGTAACGGTTAGATGTCCTATTTCGTGATATGTGAACGGCAAAATCGATATTAATATTTTTTCAAACTACACGTTGTTGTTGTATATTTTTTTAAGATTTATAAAGTATCCCTGATATAAAATTAAGTATATTTCATTATTTTTTAGTGATGTTACAGTTACGAAAATACTATAATAGGCAAACAATAAAAATAGCATACACTTAACATACAAATAAAAATGGTAGAAGATAGTTTTAATTAACAACGTGATCGTGCCCTTTAGAAATGGTAGGTTTTGTACTTTTTAATTAAAAATCAGAGTAACAAAACACGTATGAAAATAGTATAACACAGCTACCGAGTATTATTCTCCAAAAGAAAACGGAAATATAGTTTAGTATTGCACGTTCGAGTTATATAATTTATTTATTTTATCGAATAAAGACTTAAACATGCCGACATACTGTTAATATATTAACAGTTATTTAAGTGAGAGAAATATTCTCAACTATGAATACCTCACGCACGAATTTTTCATAGATTATTTTCTAGTTTTCTATTTTATAGATTTTAGAAAATAAGTCTTACCTTCACTCATGAAGTAGGGTATCCTAAATCTTCCCGAGAGCACCCTATCTCTCAACGATTGTAGAGTAGAGCCGTCGAAAGGCAGTGCCCCGCAAACTAACACGTATAGCACTACACCGAGGCTCTGAAAAAAATAGTTACCAGTGTAAGGCTAGGATAGTAACAATATGTAAAAAGAATTTTTTTTTAGAAGATATTAATGTATATCGATGTCTACTTGAGCCGAGTGGTATTGCTAAAGACGATGGCAAGAGACCGGACGGTATGAGTTTGATTCCATGGAAGATGGGCCGGGTACTGGTATGGGATGCAACCTGTTCAGACACGCTGGCCCCTTCCCATCTACATGGAACCAACTACAGAGCTGGTGCGGCTTGTGAAGCGGCTGAAAAAACTAAAGCATGCAAATACAGGGGTCTAGGCTCAGAATATGATTTTGTCCCATTCGGTGTCGAGACCCTTGGTCCGTGGGGTCTTAGCGCTTTAATGCTTTTTAAAGACATATCAAAAAGGTTAGTCGACATCACAGGAGACCGAAGATCTGGCAGCTACCTCGGACAAAGAATTAGTCTAGCGATTCAAAGGGGGAACGCTGCCAGTATCTTCGGAACCTTGCCTAAAGGGACTCCTTTTAATAATATATTTTAGTTTATGTTAAGGTTAGTTTTTTTTTTTTTCAATGTATATTATTTTAGTTATTATATTTAAAGGTTAGTTATTGTTTTTATTGTTCTTCTTTTTTGTGCATTTGAACGTGTGAATATCACATTTATATACTAGTTAGTTAAACAAGTGATGTATGTGATATCGATGTTCTTATGCAAATTAATCGTAGTATACATGATGTAGGTTTTAATTATAAACCATATGTACGATATATACTCGTATATTAATAATATTTATTTTATTAAGATACTCATATAAATAATATTTTTTATTAACAACAATCCAATTAAGACTTCTATTTATAGCGACATATTTCCAACGAAAATATTTTTGTAAAATATCATAAAACTCATTCAAATATATCATCGGATAAATGTCCCTGAACTAATATAAAGTATTCAAAGCGCCATTTACGTAAGCAGGACGTCATCAATTGCTGAAAAATCGAGCATTTTTGATAGTACTATTCTGAAACGGAATTTGCACTTCTGCAAAAAGCTTCATTCCGCGAGATGATGATTCAAAACTTTCTTTATAAAAATTATAAAGGGTTGTTTTCGGGTTTCCAGAGAGAAAATAGATAAGGTCCGACTTTATCTTACTTGTTAGTATTCATATTCAGCTATTTGGTCTTACAAGATTTAAATGTTGTGGTTCCCCGCAAATAGATTGCTTCAGATACGTAAAAGTCGATTCAAATTTTCCTACTAGAAGTAGATTAAAAAAAACTGAACATTTACGTGCCTAGACCAAAACTTACAATCAAAACATTAGGGTTATGCTATTGTGAATTCAAGTAGAAACAAGTATGAAAGATGGCGTATCCACTTACCCATATATCTATTTCCGGTCCCGTATACCGCTTGCCTTCAAAGACTTCTGGGGCGGCATAGGGCGGGGAACCGCACCAGGTAGCAAGTAGTTCTCCCTGAGCATAGTAGTTACTGAACCCAAAATCTGCTATCTTTATGTTCATGTTTGCATCCAAAAGCAAATTCTCCGCCTAGATGAGAAAAGTTTTTTGAACCAAAAGCTTTATAAAGTGTAGATACATGTGTATAAAAGGCAAAGGAAAGGCTATAATAACTAATATAACGTCTGCTGTATAATCTGTGGCATCATTGCTTCTAAACGAATGAACGTTATGGCTCTTTTAATCAGAGGATTTAAAATAATATGAATTTAACTTGGAATTATTGGGATTAAACTGAACGCCATAATATAAAAATAGCTGATAATTATTATAAAGCCTTAAATGCTTAGTACAGTTACGATTTCGGGAAAAAAAAATAAAAATTTTTTTTATTTTTTTAAAAAAAAAAAAAAAAATTTTTTAAAAAAAAAAATCAAAAAAAAAAATAAAAAAAAAAAAAAAAAAAAAATATATAAAAAAAAACAAAAAAACGTTAAAAAAAAATAAAAAAAAAATTTTTATTTACCATTTTTTTTTTTTTTTTAAAAAAAAAAAAAAATAAAAATATTTCCAAAACCCCACACACCCCCCCCCCTTTTTTTTTTTTTTTGGTTTGGTTTATGTTTTTTGTTTCTGTTCCCCCCACCTTTCTGTTTCCTTTTTTCTCTTTCCCCCCCCCCCCTCTGCCCGGCGGGTCTCCTCTCACTCGTGAGGAACCTTTTTTTTTTTTGGGTTTTTTAAAAAAAAAAAAACAACACCCCCCCCCCTTCCTAACCCCCAAACAAAAAATAACTTCTCCCCCCCTCGTTTGGGGGGGGCCCCCCCGCCGAAACCCCCGGGGGGGTTCCGAAAGTGGGTTTCAGAATCGCAGGGTAGTACCGAAAAATGTTATCAAATGCCTTTAATTATAAGGTTAAAACATGGTCAGTTGACATGCCTGAGATAGTAGGCTCACTAAAAATCACTAGTAATTCACTATTAAAAAGAGTGGCGGAGAGTTTATTGCCAGTTCTTCTCTTCAATTCTACGTCCTTGATTTGAGAACTGGCAGTAAATGTAAAATTAGGCATTTCATATTTTTTTTCTGACGTTCATAAGTGTACACTGTGTTACCTATATGAATAAATGATTATGAATTGAATTGAAAACATACCACGGAGTTCTTAGTTATGTAAGTGCAGTTACAAATTATATAATTTCCAATAGTTAGTGCAATTATCTAATACATAATATCAACATAACTATTACAGCCAGCACAATATTTGTATAAAGCCTTAAAGATCAACGATTTTAAATAGTGCCTTCTAAGAAGGCTTGATTTTTATATCTTATGCAATATGTCTAAGTATAGCTTTGTACACATTCACACTATACACATTCAATATCCGTGAAGTTTCCAACTGCCAGATGCAATGTGCGGCGAGGGTACAAGAAAAGTAAACTTGTGCTTACACAACTTTGAATGAAAGTATTCGTATAAAAGGTTTGACTTTATTACACAATAAAAATACTATCTAACTATCTTTTTACGTACTTACGGAAACTATCCTATATTTTCAAAAAAAGTAGGGAAGACCAGTTTCGAAAAAATGCTCAAATGCCAGCAATTTAATTTTACTTCGTTTTATCTACCTTTGTTTGTGGGACATAGTATTTTCACAGATGTCATTCTTTTACACTTTATATATCATACCTTATTAATGAAACTTATTACTCATTCGCTGATAAAGTATGCTTTGAATTTAACGAACAAAAAAAGAATAAATTCGTCGTCGGAAAAGCTGTATTTGTACAAAATATTTTCAGCAAAATTTTAATTCTACTAAACTAAGAACGGCTAAAAAAACAAAAAATTTACATTTGTCGCCCAAGCCTCACTGTGAATTTAGCAAACTAAGTACTAACTTTGAGGTCTCTATGTACAATCCGCCTCTCGTGACAATATTCCACCGCCGACAGAATTTGCCAAAACTTTCTTCTCGCCGCTTGCTCCGCCATTCGGCCATACCTCGCGATGTAATCTAAAGAAATAATTAATTATTAAAAATATATTAAGAACAAAAAAACAGTACTCTCTTAATTATGGAAACACAAAAAGTTTTTAATAACAAATGTTCCACAGAGCGTCATTCAAGTTATGCAAAAATGTTTTGATATTTCTATTAAAATAGTACGGTTGTACGGATTTCATGTAAGGGACACAGAAATAAAAAATTAAGCATTTTTTAAGAACATTTATGAATTACAGTCGAATTTCAAGTACTTTGCGACATCTGCATGCATAAAAATTTATCCGACTCTTCATTTATCAAAAGGATTTACATTTTTAAACTCTCTTTTGTTTTTAATCGCTTTCATGTTAATGTAATGAAACCTCTTTTTAATTTGTTGTTTCGCTCTATACTTTATGCAGAAGGAAATAAAATTAGTGCACAAAGGTTTATCTGAATTCTATAAAAACATCTGTTTTTATATTTTACATAATTATTTTAATTATAATTTGTATATGATGTATAGTAATTAGTAAAAGAAAATATGAAATTTAGTAATCTTATAGGTATATAAAATTCTCGAATCACAATGTTCGTTCTCATACTCCTCCAAAACGGCTCGACCAATTCATATGAAATTTTTTATGCATATTCAGTAACTCTGAGAATCGAGCTATTTTTCATCCCCCTAAATGTTAACGGTGGTCTAGACCACCCCAAAATTTTATTTTTTAGACAATTTTTTTTGTTTTTATTTTTTTATGATACAGCATACAATAATACATACAACCCTTAATTTTCGCCCCTCTACGATCAACGCCTATTTTTAATATGTTAATTAAAAACTTATAGGTTGAACTCTGAGGTTTATATAGAGAAAAATTCACAAAAGAACCTAAAAAGTTTTCATTCCGGAAAACCGAACAGTCTCTGGGGTAGTATAGCAAAATGTTCCATGTTGGTATGTACTAAAAAGGTAGGCTAAGTAAGTAGGTAGTAAAATCACATTAAAGAGAAACGAAGTTCGCTGGGGCAGCTAGTTCTAGTATAATAAAAAAGACGAAGAAATAACAAGATCCAGTGACTAACACATTATTAAATTGACTATATTTTTAAACAATAGCATTTTCAAGATACAGATACTATTAAATATAAACCATACATAACCCTTCCACTAAATTAGTATAAAACATAGATGACAAGCGCAATTATAATCTCGTGCTTATCGTGAAATATGCGTGCTCCTTTATTACTGAAGTTAAGCTTAGAAATAGAATTCCAATATTTTTTCATCCTGATATATGTAAATCCATAAAAGGCCACGAACGTAATACAATTCCGAGAAATATTGCTTTCTAAGATGAATATAAAATTGTCATTTTTCTATACAAAAGTATTATTTTAGGATTGATTTTATTTCAGATTTTTGCCTTTTAGTGTAGATGTTTCAGTCTGTATAAGTCGGAACGATAAACGTTTAATATTATTTTAGTAATCCCGTTGATAAAGTAACGTAAAATAATTATATCCAAAATAATTACAAATAATCATAGTATCCGAAGTTAAACTTTCTTAATTCGACTCATATATGTAATCTTGGCATAATTATTATTAATGTAATATTATTATATATTAATGTAATACGCTATATAGGTGCCAATTGACACAGTCACATTACCAAGCAAGCTCTCGACTGGAATCATCAAGGCATAAGGAAACGTGACCGCCCAAAACAGACCTGGCAACGAAGCATCATTGCAGAAGCGAAGGGAGCTGGGATGACATGGAGAGAAATTAAAAGACCTGCCCAGGGCCGACAAGGCTGGTTTTCTACGCTGGATGCCCTTTGCCCCACTTGGGCAAACAGCTAAAAATTAAGTTTTTTACTAATTAAAGTTCTAAAAAGTCACGATCGATCAATTATAATTTTTAAAAACTCATTTAACCGTAACTATGCTAGTTGTACGCGAATCCTGAGGCCAGTTCGGGTCGGGTCATGGGGTTAATATTATAAATAAAAAAACAAAATAAAACACAATTTTATCTTCAAGTGTGATAAATCAGTTTGCCGACAAAAAGTCCTTTTCAAGACTTATTCGCTTATGTAGATTTCAATCGTTGTTAAAATAGACTTCCTGTGGAATCAGGCCACACATTTGAATATTTAATATGAAATCTGCACTGAATTGCGTTTTGTGTCCAATGATAGTGTTAATATCACTTTGGAGGTTTATTCTTGCTATTTAGTTAGTAGAATTATGTATGTTAGTTATTATTGTATTTGTTTAACTCGTTTTGAATTCCGAGATGAATGTTTTCGGAATGGGCTTAGCAGTTCTATATATTTATAGCACTTTAAATCCTTTGGCTAAGTAATTTTCTAAATAAGATCTTTTTTGAATTCTATAATAATGATATATGTAAATAGAAAATAATTAATATTAATAAAATTCTTAAAAAAGAACGACACTTAAAAAGTATAAAAAGGTTTCATGTCAGACTTTAGATATTAATGCGAATTGGTGAAGTTTAATTTTCTTCCACCTGCATTTTATGAATAATCCAGCCGTGCACCTGCGCCGGCCACCTGTCATTTCGGGCTATGAATAAGAAATTCTATTCTTCAGAGAATATATCGCTTTACGTAATCAGTAATATTTTTTTTAATTTTTGTATAAATTTAAATTAAAATTTGAATAAATTAATACTGATACGAGTCGATTCGATATATGATATTACTGTATAAATAAAAGTCAGAATATAAGATAATAAAGATCATCTTAAAACTCATTTGTTTAAAACAAGGTATGTCTGGAATAAAACTGCTTTTAGCAGTTGACCTTCCGTTTTACATATAATGTCTACTTTTTTTATATTTGTGTATAAAGTGTTTATTCTAATTTCGGGAACAGTTCAAGTCTCATCCAAATCAGTACAGTTGTTTTTGAGATATTCTTACACGCATTTCACACACGTATAATATAACCTGGGTAGGTATAGGTAAATTTTTCTATATATAGGTGTATGAGTTTAATTTAGTCCCACAAGCGTCCTCGCTCACGCAGCACCTACGAGGCCGCTCCAGGTTGAACAAAGACCGCGGCGGTCTGACCGCCCCGCCGTTGAGCGAAGACACCCAAAAAATTTGGGGGGGGGGGGGGTCCCCGGGCCACCCGGGGGAAGATAGCGAAGAGAGAGATATTTAATCTAGTCTGTGGCTTTTACTTTTGAAGATGAAGTGTTTAATTTCGATTCATCGAACAGAAAGATAGATCGTGTCGCCGTTTATCTGAACAAGTGAGCGATCGCCATAGTAGTTTTTACTTTTGCTCAGGACGCCCCACAAACGACCGTTATAGATGGACCGCCCCATTAAGGTCATGAATTTTAAACCAAGCCTAAAATCCTAACAAACACGTTGTAATTATTTTCGTTAATCGATTAATGTGTTTAATGAGGCGAACGCCAAACAACTTCCTTATTTTAATTTCTTATCAACCTCTATAAAGAAAATACTCAAATAATTTAGCACTTCTGAAGGTCGCAGAAACGAAAATCGTTCATTGTAAATATTGGGATTTCCATTGTAAAAGTTATTATATAATTGTATTATGTATACGTATACAAGTAACTTTGGTACTTATTGCATTTACCCATTGTCAAATTTTTAACCGGCTTAAAAAACCGAACATTATTCGACGTGTTATTTTTCTTTTGTATTTTTAAGTTTAGCTCTGCCGGAAGTTGACAGATCTGGATGATCAACTTGTGAAATAATTCGGATTTGCATGAAATAGGTCACTTAGGCTTACATTGATTTTTCCAATAAAAAGCCTAGTATTATCTTCGAAGTCCGTCGTTTCACAACAGAGCAGCAGTAAGTTAAGTTAAGGCAGTTTTTGCTGGGCACCAGCACGATGTGGAATCAGCTGCCCATGGAAGTATTTCCGAACAAATTGTTAAAAAGGCCGACAACGTACTTGCGAGCCCTCTGGCAATGCGGGTCTATGGGGGCGGTTTCACTTACCATAAAGTGAGCCTCTTGCCCATAAAAAAATATCGTTTAATTTGATTCTCTTGGTAATACAAGACCAATCAATAGAAATAAGAGAATAATTATTTCCTTCAGGTATTCGAATACGTTTTGAAAGATAGCATTAATTTTCCATACAATTTGTATAGTTTCTTATATTAATTATATTAGATGGATGATTCTAAAAAATTAACATAGAGTGCCGCTCGAATTTTTTAAAGAAACAAAAAACTTCGTCGAATTTAACTTTCGGTTTTAAAGACGGTCAAAAAAGTGTGTATTACGCTTGATTTTACGTATTATTCTTGTTTCTTCGCTTTTTATATTTATGCGTTTTAAATAAATAGTTATACGTACAACTAATATGATAATTGCGAACTTTAGCATCAGCCACTATCATGATTGAGTCATTAAATGGTTTGTTTATCACTAAAAACAGTTTGTTTCCGTATGTTTTGACACCAACCATTTTTAAAAGCAGGAAAATCAAATCACTTCCCGTTACTAACACTTTAAATGCGTAATTTAATACTTTATTAAAAACTTCCGAGTACTTTGTAAATCCATGTTAATTGAAATTGTCTAAATAAGAGTATCACAATTAATTGATGCTTAAAGTGGTTTTGCGTCTATTAACCCTGAGGTGGTTCGTTCGATGTCCGGCTTTGCATTAACGGATTTTCCATATGCGCAATTACCACTAGCTCATACAGTGAAACCCACGAATATGACAAAAACGCTCCGACCTGTCAAGCGAATTTAAAAAAAACTGTGCCAGAGCGCCGTAACTTTTTTGGTCAAACCGGTTTCATGACGATGTTTTTCTTCACCGTTCGAGCGAATGTTAAATGCGCACATGGAAATTCTATTGGTGCACAGCCGGGGATCGAACCTACAACTTCTGGGATGGGCGTCGCACGCTGAAGCCAACACTGCTCGGCACTTACTCTTAGGAGTCCGTTTTAAGTAAATTCATAGACATAGACATAACATTTATTACAAACAAAAAATTCAGTCATATTTTACATAATTCTAATCAAACATAAACTTTACCTCTAAGCCATCGCGAACATCTGCTACACTAGGTATCAAACGACAATCACATCCGAATTATTGTAAATTTTCCATAGACGAATTTCAGTATCGTCAGCTGTGCGCGAAATTGCTACCCATCCCCTTCCCAGTGACGTCATTGTCAAACTGCTTACGTCATACAGGGGTCGACAATGGACCGTCCCAACGTTTAGAAATAATAAATGTTAGTAAAAATCGAGGACATTTAAATTTTATGTGGGTTAAGGAATATCTAAACGTGTACCTAGTATGGTTATAGTTTTGCTAACGGCAGGCAAACAGATGTAAAGTGTTTTAGTATAGATTTTTAAAGTTATACTTCTTTAGGCGCGTTATGAAAAATTTATGAGAGTGAAATTTTACGATGCGCACCTGAGACACAAAGTTGTCTTTTTTTTTAAACAACCTTTTAAACAAATAAAGGAGTTATAACTATTTTTTCAAAGAAATTTAGCAATGCTTTTTCACAAAGACCTATTGTTACTTAGTTAAATGAAACATACCAAGTTATTAAATTGAATGAATAAAATAATAAAATAATAAATAATGATAATAATTGTTATTAACATTAATTAATAATTGAATAATATACTAAATATTATTAAATTGTTTACGTTAAATATGAATTATTAATTAATTATATTTAAAAAAAATAAAGAAAGCCAAAGAAGTATAACTTCTTACGCGCGTACATAAGTACACGCACCCTTTTTTTTGTATATTCACACATATGATTATCTAAAACCTGTTACATGAATATAAGGAAAACTAGGTGTTTTTATACGGATAGAGGAAAGAAATAAACAGCTGTCATGTTCAACAAATGATTCACAAAAAGCTTAATAATACCTAAATATATAATTTTACGCTTTAATTAAATAATGTTTTGTCACCTTTATTTATTTGCAAAATGAAGTGCGAGTGATAAAGCCAAAACTTCCGGTGGCCTATAGATATGAATGGGATAGATCAGTGTTTCCTAAAGTAGGACCCACGCCCCACAGGGTATTATTAAAATTATTTGGAATTTGATTTTCAGAAATGTAAGTAATTTCTTCCTAATATCTATTATTTATTATATGAACAATTAAATTGTTTACATCAATAACAAATGATTATTCCCCCCACCCCCCTTTGTAACGTACGTATAAGTGTACACTGTGTTACCTATATGATTAAATGATTTTTGAATGTTGAATTGAATTTTTACATAAATACATTTCTAAAATTATTATACCCCACCCGGGTATAATAATTTTAGAAAGGCTAAGGTAAGACATGGCGCAAAAAAGGTTGGAAAGCACTAGATAGAACTATTATAGAATAGAACCAAGTAATACATCGAGAATATTCTATATTCGGATAGCATAAAGGTTATACCGCCCATCCTTTGAGTCCTTCAACGTATAGGGACATTTGTGGGTCGTAATTAGTTATTTATATTCAAAAACACCTACGCGTAACATTGACAGTACACGTTATATACAGAATCAACCCACTCACTAATAAAATATATACAATAAAAAATGCGCAGGCTTTGATGCATAGACATTTTTTTAAACACTATTAATCATCGTAAAATTCGTGTTTTTGCTTATCAAATAATAATTAAAAAATATTTTCATTACAGATACGATACAATATACAGTGTACACTCTTTATAACGAATTTCAAAGCACCAAGCATTTTCATTCGCTATAGAGAGGTGTCATTATAGGGAGAAAAGAATTAATGTATGGGTTTTGTGTTAACCCAAACACATTTAACTAATTTTTACGTTAGAGAGAGTTATCGTTATATAGAATGGTGGTATAAAGAGTTTACACTATATTACAGCTTTTTGGTTGGTAGTGATAAAATAGTAATTTTAAAGAGACTGGTTTAAAAATAAAGACCTTAGATGTCTGCCAATGTATTAAATATATATTATTTGTTATAAGTTATTAAATATTAACCTCACAGGTTTATAGAACATATAAGAGAATATTACTTTCAATAGAAGAGATATATATCGTTACTGAAAATTAGTGTTGAAAATGACAGAGAATACAAAAATCTAAAATACCTCGGATTCGTGCGATAAATCACGGGAATGGTGGCTATTTTTCAAATATCAACTCAATACCGTGACTGGTGTAATAACGAGGGTAGCTTTGCCCCGGACAAGCCATTAATATTATCATTTTACCACAATATTGCGAGGTAGATCGAAATTTGCTGTTTTTTACTCAAATTAACGATGTCACGAACTCTAGAAGCAATCACAATCCACGATTTACGTGTTACGAAAAAAGATTGATTTCTATGTGTGTGTATAAAAACAAATGAATTGATTAGTTTTAATAACATTAAGATACATTACAGTGTCATACATTGATTGAAGTAAATTGTATTCGCTGCGCTTTAAAATTAAATAACATACAAAGCATCAATTAATCATTAAAACTATGATTTTTTTATTAATAAAATATATATTTTTACAAAAATAAAGAAAAAACTAAATTTTAATGTTCTATCAAGCGAGATACAAATAGTGTCTACTATCTCACTCAAAAAACATTCCTACTTAAACCAGTATTTCACTTCGGGGGTAAAAGGTTACCAATTGTCTTCATTTTTCCTATATTATTGAATTGAGGAATCTAATGCCTTCTAGTTTCTAACGTTACGCAAGTAGGTAACTAAATTAGATTTGAATGAAATGTTTACAATGTAAATGTAGTATGACTCACCGAAGATTTCTCCCTTGCTCGCGTACTCTGAGACTATGTATATCATGTTCTTCGTTTCCATGACCTGTAAATAAAATATAGTAGTATTGTTATAAACTTTAAATCCATTTAATTCTAACACAAATATACAGTATTTACAATAATCTTAATCTACATAGTAATTATAAAAATACATTGATAAATAGAAAATTAAAACAAATATAAAAATTTGGTCCCGGCAGTGTAGTTAATGCTGGCAGCATTTGTTCCCTGTATTTCGATACTTATTCGTTGCGAAGAAAGCACAAATTAATAATTAATTATTAATAATTAATTATTTTTATTGTGATTGATGTAAAAAAAATCATCTAAAGAACCGATAATTGCAAATTGGAAGTAGTTGGTACGAAAGATAAATATGAAAGTAGAATGGCTTTCGTTATAGGAAGCTTTGAAGAAACAATTTTTTTTAAACACGCAATTTTTTTAACGAAAACCCCAGGCGTTAAAACCTGTGGTATTGGCCTCAGATTTCGTTATATTAATAATTAATTATTTTTATTGTGATTGATGTAAAAAAAATTGAATACGAAACAGATAACGAAATCTGAGGCCAATACCACAGGTTTTAACGCCTGGGGTTTTCGTTAAAAAAATTGCGTGTTTAAAAAAAAATTGTTTCTTCAAAGCTTCCTATAACGAAAGCCATTCTACTTTCATATTTATCTTTCGTACCAACTACTTCCAATTTGCAATTATCGGTTCTTTAGATGATTTTTTTTATATCAATAACAATAAAAATAATTAATTATTAATAATTAATTATTTTTATTGTGATTGATGTAAAAAAAATTGAATACGAAACAGATAACTAAATCTGAGGCCAATACCACAGGTTTTAACGCCTGGGGTTTTCGTTAAAAAAATTGCGTGTTTAAAAAAAAATTGTTTCTTCAAAGCTTCCTATAACGAAAGCCATTCTACTTTTATATTTATCTTTCGTACCAACTACTTCCAATTTGCAATTATCGGTTCTTTAGATGACATCATTTAGTCTTTATGATTACTTAAGTAATTAGTAACTCTTAAGAAAATTTAACTTACTTACTAAATAATCTCAAAATACTTGGAAAATAACGTATAGCCATTTTCTTTTAATTATAGCCAATATAACATACGGTCAGTAACATAACTACAGCAATACACAATATGAAAGTTCATTCCAAAAAATAATTAAATCGGATAATGACAAAATGAATTGAAGTCATTCATCGAAATTATCCCATTCCAAAATTCTTAGGATTCTTTACTTAGTCTTAAGATTGGTTGTTCTTAATTTAAATATCCACTTAATCGGAGTGTTTCAAATATTCAAGTTTATTTTATTCACGCTTATCTTAAGACATTCCAAATTTGTTCAGAGATTCACTGTAAAAGGTTTAATTTGTTCCGCAGTTTCTGATCCAATTAGAAAAGTAATTTGTGCTCGCGAATCACTAGAAAATAAATATTAAATGCGTTCTAAGCTTAAAATAAATCTAATCTGTATAATATTATTAAGCTAATAAACTGCATTGTTATCTGTGTAATATTAATTACGATGTTGAGGCTAAATATAACTTCTTAAAAGAAGAACTGGCAAGAAACTCGGATACTCCAATTCTCAAGTTTTTTGTTTAACAAGTTACATGCTCCACATCCGTTTTTCAATGTTCAACCATGTTGTTTTTTTTAAAATTTGAACCATTGTTATACTCATTTTGCAAAGTTACGGAAATCAATTAGCATGATTATACTCTAAAATAGCCTTCCTTTAAGTCCCTCTTCCTTGTACCAGCGTCACTGTAATTAATGGGTATTGCCCATATATTTGAGTATGGAATTCACGCATGACGTATGACAAACAACCCGTTCAGAATTCTTTAGAATTCGGGAATGCCTTTAAAATGAGAACTACAATTATCTTTAGATACTAACTATATCTTTGTTCCGTAAGATTAAGGTGCATTTTACCAAAATATCAAATTAGGCCAGTCAGTTTCCATTTATTATGTTATTACAAATAACATAGTGACAAGACTCTTGTGGCAAGTAGTCAAAAGCAAAAATAAATAAATAAAAGACGTAACATAGACAATAAAGTTAAAATGGAAATGGGCCGGTCACATTGGCCGCATTGGTGATGGCAGTCGAGTCAAAAAGACCCTTACTTGGAATGGCCCAGAGGGAAGAAAATGAGAGGATGCCCACAAAAAATTTGGAAAGATAAAATATAAGGGATAGCGGGGCAAAGTTGGAAAATTTGGACAAGTGAAAGAATTTGGAGGAGGCCTTCTTTCCATCGGAGGTCGAGTACTAGTGTGAAACATAAATGACATTGACAAAGGCTATGTTCAGATGGCAAAAATTTGACGCGACTAGACATTGTGGTATTTTCATACAACTGTTCACATGAGCGCGCGTTAACGCGCGTTAGCGAGCGTTAACGCGGCGCTCAGAAAAAAAGTCTCTAGACGCAGGTGATCGCGCGTTGACGCGCGCTTTGATATTAATGTAATGTCCGTTTGCTCTTCAGTTGAGCGCGCGCTTTCATCGCGATCGCATGTAATTTTGTTAATTTTCGTAATTATATTTATAACAAACTGGGTCTATTTTTCAAAATTGGATGAACCCAATGTGTACGTTTTCTTTTTCTATATTTTTCTTTATAATATAACTACAAAATAATAGCCTCTTCCACGTCCATTTTCTACGTTTTACCGAACTAGACTGACGAGTACTCTCGCAACGCGCATAAGCGCTCATCATCTGAACTCTCTTCAAATTTGATCGCGCGTTAACGCGCGTTACATGTGAAAATAGCCTTAGTGTAGTTATAGTGTACTCGAATAAAGGCTATTTTTACTTTAGTCAAAAGCAAGACAACATTACCCGTCTACTAATGTCAAGATCCAAACTTGAAATTGTATTCTTTTTCATTAATGAAAAACCTAAGGTCGCGCCAATGAACTGTTAGCGGACACGCCAAAAATAAAGTTTAAAAATAAATTTATATGAAATGACGCATCTTTCCTCATGTTTACGATATGCTGAAGCAATTCATTCGAAAAACACTTTTTCAGTGCGAATTTTATTGCAGTATTGTCTTTAAGTTTATGGGTTAAATAACGTGAGACTTTAGTACATACCTAATTCAATGTATCAATGTGTCATTTGTACAATGTAACCATTTAACTTCGTAAAAATTTAAATGTCTTCTGTCTATTTAAATATCTTATTGATATAATGATTGAAAGGCAAGGTTTATATATATAATAATCGTGGTTTGTACCAATACTTTTTTTCGCAAAAAAATAAAAATTAATCAATTTCACTTACGCCATTGAAAAATTATAAACCGCATGTTATAGTCATTGTATGATTACTGACCTAATTTGTGGCGCACTTACCCACTTCCTGTAAACTGCGTATTTATCAAACTTTAATAAAAACCGATAGCCATTTTCAAATATGTAATACACTCATTTGACCTGAGCCGGCTTTGTCTTACTAAATTTAATTTAATAGTTAATTTTGCATGCTTCTAAATTTATTTAACTTTTTTTCAAAGTCTTTATTTTCAATTTCCTGTGGGTTTTCTTTTCGGGATAACCATATCAGTTTTGCGAAGGGACAAAACGTGGTTGTTAGTACCATGTTTGTTGCCATGGCTACGGCATTTAAAAAAATGGTTATAATATTTAGTATAAATGAAATTTGTCTGACCTAGTAATACATTTATATTTTTTAAAACGTAACATCTAAAGAGCGATGTTAAAATAAGTGTATAAATGTTAATAAAGCAGTATTTATATTTAGATCGCACGAGAATATCACGTGAAAGTCGCTTGACATAAACAATACGTATTCTTCACAGAATTTACTTGTGACAAAAGCAAAACCTTATACAAACGCCACCTTTTTCTATAAAAAGAAATGCTATTAGGAAGAACTATGAATATTTAATTTATACATAGAATTATTATATTGGTGGTAATTAATATGGGCGTGTTGTAAATATAAAGAGTGTAATACAATAATAATGATAATAGTACGTGGAATTTGGACACCAGGAAAATGTACAAATATAGTTCAAGTACAAAATTCAATTCCCTTCTATGATTTATATTTTGTTTATGACAATTTAACGATTATTTTCTTAAATTACGAATTAGTCTTATATTGGATTAGGTCATAACAATAAGACAGTTTGTCTTATGTGCTTTTGTTGTCTTAAGTGCTTTTGAAAGACTTTAGTTTGAACTGTATGTGATATTCGAATTTAAATATTTTGTAGGCTCCAAGCACATGTGCGAAGTTTCTTAAACGTATCCACAAACTCGGTAACTGAAACTAACATCGTGGCGATGTGATTTAAATCAGAGTAACCCGTAGGGAATAGTAGTTTTATAGATATCCAGTCATGGATTTTTTATGGCCTAATAAGAAGACCACGCCAAGTCTTATTTTGAAAATAATGAAGATTTAAATATTGAAGTCGGTTTAATTTTTCTATGCTACTATTATTTTTTGCAGATGTAGTATGGTCTATTTAGTATAGTCTTTATAAATGATGTACATATAATGACTAAGATATTACGTCACGTGACTCTACATACCTATTTGGCTATTATGACGTCATCAATTACGTAAATACATATATTAGCTTATAAGAATTTATCAAAGGTATTATGCGTTCGCTTCCGGATAAAAATAAATAACCAATCAATATAAGCTGTTTCTGGAATAACGACATAGATATATCGTTAAGTAAAATAGTTTAAATTTTAATGGGTACGGTAATATGTATTATGAGATATGTACATACCAATGGCGCTTTAACCTCTGAGGTCTGGGCCTAAGATTTATAATAGGCAAGTAGGTGATCAACCTTCTGAGCCTGACACACACCGCCGACTTTTTTTAAAGTCATTGGTGCACAGCCAGGGATCGAACCTACGACCCCAAGGATGAGAGTCGCACGATGAAACTAGGCTAATACTGCTCACTTATTATGATATATTAAAAACTGAATATCGCTCT